TTAGGAGCAAAAAAAACCTCTAGGTGATATTAAAAGAAGTCTTTAGGTTTCACACAGGACACCAACAGCAGTCTCCTGGGTTGAAGTCCTGTGTTGGAGCCTGGACCTCCATATGACGACTTTCTCTATCTTTATGCTAAGACACCTGACTTTAACAGAGATATCTTTAGCCGCTATAGTTAGCCAGCCCCCAGTAGCCGGTGCGGTCCGACCGAAGGTAGCTTCTGTTAGCCGTCCTTCAGCAGTTCCAACGGAAGATCCCGAGCAGCCGGGAAGACAGGGAGGCTGGGTGACTGAGCAAAGGAAGAATAAAACGCCGAAGCCCACTGTTCACCACCAACCCATTCACGTTTCTAATAAATGTTCCCCACTCAGCGACACACCCGCTGAGGAACCAACTCTGATTATTGGCAGCTCCATAGTCAGAAACGTGAAGTTAGTGAAGCCAGCGGCCATAGTCAAATGTATCCCTGGGGCCAGAGCAGGTGACATTGAATCATATTTAAAACTGCTGGCTAAAGATAAACGTAAATATAGTAAGATTGTTATCCACGTCGGCGGTAATGACACCCGATTACGCCAATTGGAGGTCACCAAAATGAATGTGGAGTCAGTGTGTAATTATGCTAAAACTATGTCGGACTCCGTAGTTTTCTCTGGACCCCTGCCCAATGTGACCAGTGATGACATGTATAGCCGCATGTCGGTCTTCCACCACTGGCTGTTGAGGTGGTGTCCAGCAAACGATGTGGGCTTCATTGATAACTGGAAGCCTTTTTGGGGAAAACCTGGTCTGATTAGGAGAGACGGCATCCATCCCACTTTGGATGGAGCGGCTCTCTTATCTAGAAATATGGCGAAGTTTATTTCTAAAACCTGACAGTCCAGAGTTAGGACCAGGAAGCAGAGCTGCTGTCTTACACACTTCTCTGCTCTTTCTTTAGAACAGTCACCCACCCAAAACCCCATAGAGACTGTGTCTGTCCCCCGACCACCGAAATTATTTAAAGAAATAAAAACAAGGAGTTCAACATAAAAACCTAATAAAAATTAAAACTAACTCCTCAGTAGCACAAAATAAGAGAATGAAATGTGGGCTGTTAAATATCAGGTCTCTGTCCTCTAAAGCTGTTTTAGTGAACGAATTAATATCAGATTATGATATTGATTTACTTTGTCTTACTGAGACCTGGTTGTCCCACGAGGAGTGTGTTAGCCTAAATGAATCCACCCCCCCAGTCATAATACTCACATTCCTCGAGGCACCGGCAGAGGAGGTGGAGTAGCAGCCATATATGATTCGAGCGTTTTAATGGACCCTAAACCTAAACTAAATTATAATTCATTTATAAGCCTTGTTCTTAGTCTTTTTCACCCAAACTGGAAAACACTGCAGCCAGTTCTATTTGTTATAGTGTACCGCGCTCCTGGACCGTACTCTGATTTTATATCTGAATTCTCAGAGATTTTATCAAGTTTAGTCCTTAAATCAGATAAAGTAATTATTGTAGGTGATTTTAATATTCATGTGGATGTTGACAATGACAGCCTTAGTAATGCATTTATATCATTAATAGACTCAATTGGCTTCTGTCAGAGTGTAAATAAACCAACTCATTGTTTTAATCACACTCTTGACCTTGTTCTATCATATGGCAATGATATTGAACATTTAATAGTCTTCCCACATAATCCTTTCCTATCTGACCATTATTTAATAACTTTTGAATTCATACTATTAGATTATAAGCCATTAGGCAAAACCTCCTACAGCAGATGTCTATCTGACAGTGCTGTAGCTAAATTTAAGGAGGAGATTCCTTCAGTGTTTAATTCAATGCCATCCTCAGAGAATTCAGATATAAAATCAGAGTACGGTCCAGGAGCGCGGTACACTATAACAAATAGAACTGGCTGTTTTTCCTTGCCCTTGTTGCCAAGTGTTTGCTCATGGTGGTACTGTTGGGTCTCTGTAAATAATGTTATAAAGAGTTCGGTCTAGACCTGCTCTATTTGAAAAGTGTCCTGAGATAACTTCTGTTATGAATTGGCGCTATACAAATAAAATTGAATTGAATTGAACTTTAGTCCCTCTGAAATTGATAATCTTGTCGATAGTGCTGCAGGCTCACTACGATCAACATTAGACTCTATCGCTCCTATAAAAAGGAAATTATTAAAACATAGGAGATTAGCACCGTGGTACAACCACCAAACCCGCCAGTTAAAGCAAATAGCTAGGAAATCTGAAAGGAAATAGCGCTCTTCCAAATTATCAGAATATTGCTCAATTTGGCAAGATAATCTTAAAATGTATAGAAAGGCCCTCCGTAATGCCAGAGGAGCCTATTACTCAGCACTAATAGAAGAAAATAAGAATAACCCTAGGTTCCTCTTCAGCACTGTAGCCAGGCTGACAGAGAGTCACAGCTCTATAGAGCCACATATCCCCATAACCTTATGTAGCAATGACTTCATGAGCTTCTTCTATAATAAAATTATTACTATTAGAGAGAAAATTAATCACCAACTGCCATCAACAGTTATCAGTGACTCTCCAAGTTCAGGGACTTTTCTAATGTAAACTTAGATATATATTTAGACTGTTTTTCTGCTATCGATCTTCATCAGGTAACTTCAATAATTTCTTCATCGAAGCCATCAACCTGTCTGTTGGACCCGATCCCAACTAGACTGCTTAAAGAAGTTGTTCCCTTAATTGGCACTTCTTTACTGGATATGATTAATCTTTCTTTATTATCAGGATATGTACCACAGTCCTTTAAAGTAGCTGTAATTAAACCCCTTCTTAAAAAGCCCACTCTTGACCCAGGGGTTTTAGCCAACTATAGACCGATCTCTAACCTTCCCTTCCTCTCTAAGATTCTGGAGAAAGTAGTCGCCAAAGAGTTGTGTGACTTTCTACACAACAATAGTTTATTTGAGGATTTTCAGTCAGGATTTAGAGTTCATCACAGCACAGAGACAGCTCTGGTTAAAGTTAATAATGACCTTCTGATTGCTTCGGACAATGGACTTGTCTCTGTACTTGTATTATTAGATCTTAGTGCTGCATTTGACACCATTGACCATGATATTCTTTTACAGAGACTCGAGCATCGAATTGGCATTAAAGGAACCGCACTAAGCTGGTTTAAGTCATATTTATCAGATCATTCGCAGTTTGTACATGTTAACGATGAATCTTCAATAAATACTACAGTTAGTCATGGAGTTCCACAAGGCTCTGTACTTGGACCAATACTATTTACTTTATATAAGCTCCCTTTAGCCAACATTATTAGGAATCACTCCATTAACTTTCACTGTTATGCAGATGATACGCAGTTATATCTATCAATCAAGCCCAATGAAATTAATTACAAACATGTCTTAAGGACATAAAATCCTGGATGAGCTGCAATTTTCTGATGTTAAACTCAGAAAAAAATGGAATTCTTGTTCTTGGCCCCAAAATCCTTAGAGACTCACTGTCTAAAGATATAGTTACTCTAGATGGCATTACCTTGGCCTCTAGAACCACTGTCAGGAATCTTGGAGTTATCTTTGATCAGGATTTGTCATTTAACTCCCACATGAAGCAAACCTCTAGGACTGCCTTCTTTCATTTACGTAATATTACAAAAATTAGACACATACTATCACAGACAGATGCAGAAACACTAATCCATGCATTTGTTACTTCAAGGCTGGATTACTACAACTCTTTATTATCAGGTTGCCCCAATAAGTCCATTAAAACGCTCCAATTAATTCAGAACGCTGCAGCACGAGTACTGACAGGAACTAGAAAAAGAGATCACATCTCTCCTGTACTAGTTTTTCTGCATTGGCTCCCTGTAAAATGTAGAATAGAATTTAAAATCCTCCTCCTCACATATAAAGCTCTTCATGGTCAGGCCCCTTCATAACTTAAAGAGCTCATAGTACCCTATTACTCCTCTAGAACACTACATTCTCTGAATGCTGGGCTACTTGTGGTTCCTATAGTCTCTAAAAGTAGAACAGGAGCCAGAGCCTTCGGTTACCAAGCTCCTCTCCTATGGAACCAGCTTCCAGTTGTGGTTCGGGAGGCAGACACCCTCACCACATTCAAGAGTAGGCTTAAGACATTCCTCTTTGATAAAGCTTATAGTTAGGGCTGGATCAGGTGAGTCCTGAACCATCCCTTAGTTTTGCTGTTATAGGCCTAGACTATCGGGGGATTTCCCATGCCAATACTGTTGTTGCTGTGCACCTGTCTGTCTGTCTCTCTCTCTCTCTCTCTCTCTCTCTCCACCCCAACTGGTCGAGACAGACGACCACCCACCTAGAGCTGAAGGATCTGTCCTAGGTTTCTGCCTTTTAACAGGCAGTTTTTCCTTGCCCTTGTCGCCAAGTGCTTGCTCATGGTGGTACTGTTGGGTCTCTGTAAATAATGTTATAAAGAGTTCGGTCTAGACCTGCTCTATTTGAAAAGTGTCCTGAGATAACTTCTGTTATGAATTGGCGCTATACAAATAAAATTGAATTGAACAGTGTGCACATACAGAAATTGTATTAATGGGAGACCTACAGCCTCGTATTCTGAAGTTGAAACCACTAACTGCAGTATTTGATGAGGTGGAAGTGAGACCAGGTTGAAGGATTATAACTACAAATAAACTAAAAAAAATCGAGCCCTTCGTTTCATAAGTAATCTTTGGTTAAATCTGGGTAATTAAAACAATTTGCCCTCCCATTTTAGCCCAAACTACAAACATATCTATGAAAACTGCCCTGAGAGTTAAAAATACCTCCGACAGACACCAGCAGAAACAGTCGCTGGGTGTTGGACAGCATGACGAGTGCCTCTGAGGCTGCGTGACAACTTTCACATTTTCTGAATGAAAGCTCTTCCTGTACAGCGAGTGGAAACAGAAGCTGAGCCAAGATAAGAAGCTAACGACGTAATTAGCCCACATTCAGTAACCTGCTGCTGCAAGAGGAAGGACCAAAATAACACATTCAGTCCTCCGTGCTGCTGCTACAGGGAAGGTGACGGCGTTTCAGGAAAGTATAGAATTAATGATAGTTACGCATGGTTGAGAGCGATCGGAAAACATTCGGATCAAAAACTGTTATCTCGTGGCCGATACCACCAGATGCGGCAAGTCAGGTTTTTGAATGTGCGGTTGTGATAAAACACAGCGTTAAATGACATACAGTTAGAAGAATAAGTAAATGTGTATTTTATTATATTTCATGTGTAAATATAGGAGGAACAGTCAGAACACAAGCAACCATCAGTCTTTAAAGCCAGAGACAGAGCTGGAGGTGTGTGGAGATCATAGAGTTCAAGAGTCCAAGGTCACACAGGATGGAGTTCATCGAGAGTTCAGCCACATGGTCCTTTATGTGGTCAAAATGATAATACTGGTTTGGTTTTTGAAAACCAGTTGGTGTTGGTTTGGTAAAGGAGGAGCTGTATACTGTACAGGGTATATAATAGAGTATTCATCATCGGTTGTTCAGGTAAAGTCTCCAGACTTTTCCTGCCCTAAGTTTGGAGGTTTACCTTGGACATGTGGCCTTATTGTGTGACTGAGGAACATGTACCAGACTGTACCTGCAGACTGCAGTACCAGGTTTACCAACGGAAGAATTCAGGCTTGAACCTCTGAATATCCATAGAATATGTCACAGTTGGTTCAGACGGTGTTTAAACATCTTATTGTGAAAGTTCTGTACTGAAGAAGGATGATGAAGATGTTTCACACACTGATGTGAGAGTTTTACAGTATAATGACGTCTGCATCAGTTGGTGGAGAGTTTTAAATCATGTCAATCGTTGTCTCATTGTGTGTCTCTGAACCTTTGACACCTTTTACTTTCAGTGCCCTTTTTCTTCTTCTACTGTGGACAATCAGCATGACACCAACTATGGAGGATGGTGAGCAGCACACACACACACACACACACACACACTTCCATTATAACCTCATATAACTGACTTTCACTGACTGTATTCACTGTTTACTGTTTTACTTAAATTAAGTTTTAACCCTGAACTTCAGTCTAAATCGGGACCAGGGATCAATTTCATTTTAATCTGATGTTAAACCTAATTCAGAGGGTATTAGTGTCTGTCTGTGGGGTCAGGGCTCCTCTCTAACGTTAATCCTGTCTGCAAACATGTCTGCCTTCTGCTCAGGAGGACAAACAGCTGTTAAAATTATACCACACTTTCATTGCTTATTACTTCTATTACTCTGTACAGACTTGGTCTGGGAACCGGAGCGTTCGAGTCCAGCATGGACCACAGTATGGAGTGTGGACTGGTAGATGCCAGTTTCACCTCCTGGGCACTGTTAAGGGGCCCTTAAGCAAGGCACCAAACCCCTAACTGCAGTGTATAGGCACAGTGTTCATCTATGAATTGACACCACAAATGGCATCTGTTCCCTGAAATCCTACAATATGGCCATAACGGATCATTAAATGAACACTTTATTTGTAAAATTAACATAATTGAATGTGTTAATGTGAACAGCTGATAAACAGTGGACACAATAACTGCAGGAAGTCGGTGAAAAAGGAGCAGTTTGGATGAATTTTGAGCAGATTATTTCCTGTGAATATTTCATCAGAGGTAAGTTTTCTGATGGTTTTAAGAACTTTTTATACTATTTATAATTCTATGTCTGTATTGTGTTACACTCCACCTTTAGGTGGGCCTTTGGGGCAAACAACTCTCCACCACTGACTAAAACAACCACAGAAAGACACCTTTTAAAAAAACCAAAATCAAATCTGAAGACACAAAGTGACAAAAAATCCCAGCCTGAGAGGCAGTAACACCACTCCAACAGGCTCTGACAGCTGGTGCTGGCACAGCGCTTTTAATCCCCTAATCACAGTTAATCAGCACACCTGGGCAGAGCTTGGGGAGCAAGAGGAGTAGGGACAAACAGAACAGGGAAACACATACTGCAGTGTCTGTCTGTGTGTGTGTGTGTGTGTGTGTGTGTGTGTGTGTAGGTGTCAGTGACGTGCTGTCCGACGTGGTGGAGGACGTCATTGAAGCTGTCTACAGAAACGTTGGTGGAGCTCAGCTTCTGCACGAACTCCTGAGTGCGCCGTGGCTGTGCGCTCTGCTGAAGGTACGACGACATTGAACACACCCTGCAGGCATGAAACGTGTCCTGAGGCAACTTCTGTTAGGATTTGGTGCTATACAAATAAAATGTTATAAATGTAATTTCCTGTCCAGATTTATGAGTGCCTGTTGCAGTTCCAGAGGTTGACACCCAGCCCCATCCTGCCTTATGCATCAGGACTCTCGCACGAGGTTTATTCACACACACACACACACACACACACACACACACACACACATATATTACATAAGATGAGCAGGAAACTGCACCCAGTAATACTGCAGCTACTTTCCTTAAAAAATATAAAACACAGTCAAATATAATCTAAAGCGTTTTTCAACCTCCAGCAGCAATGTAATGCTGATTGCTCTTAATTTAAAAACAAAAAGAAAACAACCAAATATATTTAATCTTTCTTTAAACAAAAGTTGAAGTAAAAGTGCCCTCTTGGATGCTTAAAGTTTACGGGGTTTTCCCGTTTATTTTACAGATTTTCTATGCATTTTTTAAATACAGACAAATATGAATACAATTACTGTTACGACCCCCCCATTATGGCTCGTATGACATAATCAAAGACAGGAGTTTCCAATCAATTAATTTATTTTCAAAACAATGAAGAAAAGACTCAAAGAACACAAACAACAAAAGGTCTGATGGACCGGCTCCGAGCAGCCCAGCAAGGCCGTACGATCGGAGCCCCTTTCCTCTACATGTGTAAATATCTTTTAATTAAACATTAAAAAGACAAAAAAATACACAATATTTTATATAGAATTAAAGCTAAAAACTGTATTTTAATTATAGAATATTACTGTATAAGTCAGTTATTTTACTTTTTAGTCTAACCCTGACTAAGCAATGTCACCATAAATGCATCACAACTTTCTGCTGATGGTCCCCCACTGCCGTCTATACTCTCTCTATATTCCTGTCTGAGTACCTGTTTGTCTGTCTGTCTGTCAGATAATGACTGTGATACAGACGGTCCCCCGTCCTTCAGCCGAAGCTCAAGAGCTCCACAACCTCCTCAGCTCACCACACATCCAGGTCTGTTCACTCATTCAGGAACTCTTGTGTAACACCCGTTTGATGTTCTGTGATAACTCCTGTACCCTACTCTCAGGCCCTCCTATCGTCCCAGGACAGTGTGGCCCAGTTAGACTACGGACCCGTTTTACCCCCTCTTCCCGACGAGATGCCCGAGAACGAGGAGGCCATGAGGATCGTTTGTCTGGTGAAGAACAACCAGCCGCTGGTGAGTCACTTTCTATTTCACAGCATTGGTGCTATGTTGGAACCAGTTTTTCTGGCCGAGAGTCGGTTCTTTGGCTGTCGAAAAACACAAAGAACCGGTTCAAGATTAGGTGGAAAAGGCGTACAGGACTCAGGACCCAAACCCACGTCCGTCCTGTACTTTTACACTTTTACTTGTGTGCAGAACATAAATGGATAAAACATAATACAGGCAGCAGGGAACTGTAATCCTACAAAATGTGACAACATAAACGTTATTTCTAGGAGACAGGGTTGAATAATTGATTGCACCGAGCAGCTGGGTTCGAAGTAGAAAGCATGTGAGCAGCTCACAAAGTAATTCAATTCAGTTCAATTCAATTTTATTTGTATAGCACCAATTCATAACAGAAGTTATCTCAGGACCAGTGTTGGTCAAGTTACTTGGAAATAGTAATTAGTTACTTTACTAGTTACTTTACTAAGTTACTTTTCAAAAACATGAAGCACAACCCGAATTCGCTATAAAGCAATAGACTTTTCAGCCTAATTCTATTCTTTCTGATATTCCATTATCTAAAATTGAATCAAATGAATTTTTAAAACTTGTTTTATTAGTTTCAATCTTTTAACTTCATGCACATTGTATCAAGCAAAAATTTAATTAAATGCAACAGTCTCTGACTTGAAGAAAATTGTGAGCATTTAAACCTATTTTCTGCACATTCCATGTCAGTGGGGGGATCCAGGTTTTTTTCAGTGAGTTTCACATTCCTGTGGCGGCTTGCTAGGTGCTTGCTGAGATTTAAGGTGGAATTTTTTGCTGTAGATAAAAGTTTTCTTCCCACGCAGAGTGTACAGCGGACGCTGATGTTTTTGTCACCTTTTACCGAGTCAAACTCAAAGTAATGTCGGTACTTCCAAGCATTAAACGCTGCTCTCTCCCGCGCTGCATTTTGTCTCTTGTTGATCACTAAACGTGTCAGTGTTTACCACTGACGTCGCGGTGCTCATACGTCATTGTCTAACAGTCTAACAAAACAAAATCACGGTTAAGTAACGCAGTAACGCAGCCTGCTTGCGGGAAAGTAACAGTAATCTAACTGTGTTACTTCTAACACGTTACTGCCCATCGGTGCTCAGGACACTTTTCAAATGGAGTCGGTCTAGACCGAACTCCTCATAACAGGGGTGCCCGTTACGTCGATTGCGATCTACCGGTCGATCGCAAAGGTGGTGTGGGTAGATCGCATGGCATTTAAAAAAAAAAAATAGACGCCAGCCTATCATCCATTCTAACGTCTGAACGTTTGTGACTCTATAGTACTAAACTTAAGAAATTATATAAAAATGAGTGGGGGAGCTGGACCAAGTAAAAAGCCCAAAACCTACCACTTCCATACGGAATGGGGACTTTTTTTTCCACAATGTCCTATTTGAAGTGCGAAATCCTTCCAAGACGGAGAGATGATAAAAGAGGCATTCGTTGAAGCAGCTGAATCGTTGTTTCAAGACTTTAAAAACAAACCAGAGATAGTATCTTCAATCAAAGCTCTCCAGCTGTCAAGAAGTACAGTTACACGTCGCTGTGAAGCAATGGCCGAAGATGTGACCCAGAAACTTTGGAGGGATATAGCGGACTGCGAGTGTTTCTCACTGCAATTGGATGAGTCTACAGACGTTAGTGACACAGTCCAGTTGTGCATTTTTATTCGTATGGTGTTTACCGATATGATTTCAAAAGAGGAGCTGTTAACAGTGCTGCCCATGAAAGAACACACACGGGGAGAGGACATTTTCAGTCTTTTAAAAACTTTATTGAGAAAACTCAGCTCCCAGTGTGGAAATTGGTGTCCATCACCACGGATGGTGCGCCCGTGATGATTGGCCGCTCAAATGGATTTATTGCCAAGTGCAGGGAGGATGATGCCTTCCCCGACTTCCTCAATTACCACTGCATAATACACCAACAAGCGTTATGCGCAAAAATGCTGAACATGAAAGAGGTTATGGATGTGGCAATGAAGATCGCCTGTTCTATTCGTGCCAGATCTCTTCAAAGACAGCTGTTCCGTGTGCATCTGGAGAAGGCAGACTGCGACCACACTGAATTGTTGCTACACACTGACGTGAGATGGCTTAGTCGAGGGAAATTCCTGCAAAGATTTCGAGAGCTCTGTCTGGAGATTAAAGAGTTTCTCCTTGCATCTAAACATGCAGAATACACCCAACTAAATGACGATCAGTGGCCACTAGACTTAGCATTTTTAACCGATCTGACCAACATGTTGAATGACCTCAATGTTGTGCTGCAAGGAAAAGACAAAACAGTGGTCAATATGATCAGCTCAGTTAATGCGTTCAAACGAAATTTGCAACATCTGGGCTCAAAGCTGCAGCGCCATGATTTGGCAAACTTCCAGAACCTCGTTTCAGAACTGGAGAGGCAAGGGAAGCCCTGTGTGCAATTTGACAGTGGATGCTACACAGAGCAGATTGAAAACCTTCTGTCAGACAAACAAACGGTTTCAAGACTTGCTTTATTGGAGCCAGTCGCTACATTCATGTGCTACCCATTTCGGGAGGATGCTGATGTTGATTTACTCGCATCAGAAATTGCAACACTGTTTCACCTGAACTCGTCTGGAGTGGAGGATGAGATCCTGACACTACAAGCTGACATTGAACTCAAGTCCAGGGTTCATGGGCAGTTTTGAAACTTACTCACAGAGGAAAAGTACCCCAACATGAGGAAATGTGCTACCTCCTTGACTGCATTATTCGGCTCTACTTATTTATGTAAGTCAGCCTTTTGCCACATGAAGATTATCAAGTCCAAATACCGTTCCACTATGACTGATGATCATTTGGAAGTGTGCTTGAGGCTGGCTATCAGCAGCTACTGTCCGGACTATGCATCCCTGGCTGACTCCATTCAGTGCAAGCCATCAGCGTGAGGTATGTACTCAGTATATATAATTAAATATATTTACTCATAATGACACTTAACTTAAATGAGACACAACATAAAGTGCTTGTCCACCTCAACCACTTTTTACATACCATCTAGCCGGCAAGTGTCTGGGGTTTGGTTATTAGTACAGATGTTGGGTTGAAACATGGTAAGGGAAATTGTATTATGTTTGCATTTGTGTTACATTAGATCTGGAAGGAACATTTTCCGTTTGATTAATTTGTGTGTTTCTCACCTCTTGTCTAGATTGCACCCAGGAACTGTCAAACCAGTCCCCGCCCAGGTGGACTCCTTTTATGGTCAAGTTCCTTGGGGAATGTGCCAAGTGTAGTATAGATGAGGGGAAATTTAGGAGGCGTTTGGGAGATTTGTGATTTTTTTGAGATTTTAAACAGTTGGCATCTATTTTATTCTTTTGATATGTGTTGTGAGTTCTTTCTACTGTTATACCTATAAAACTAAACAATTTGGTATTAGATAAATGAATGTGTTATTGTTGTTGTTATCTTAATTGTTGCATCCTGTGGTAGGAGGAAGTTGCCAGGGGCCCCAGTTTAAAAGGGGTATAGAGATCAGAGTGGAGGTTATTTTTGATACCTCTAGTTACCTTTTTCCTAAGTTGTTTCCATTTGTTTTCATTTTTATTTTGTTTGTTGTTTTCTCTTCAGTTTGGGTCAAGCTGACCCTCACTGTAAATAAGCTGCACTGATCCACTGCTTGGAAAAAAAGGAAAATAAAAATTTGGACTGACTGAACAGTTTCAAGGTCCCTTTCTTCCTGCCTTCACTTATGTTTAGCAGTTTTTAATGTAGGTAGATCAGTTTGACCTGGTCATTTTGAAAGTAGCTCACAAGCCGAAAAAGTGTGGGCACCCCTGCCTTATAACATTTACAGAGACCCAACAGTACCATCGTGAGCAAGCACTTGGCGACGGGGGCAAGGAAAAACTGCCTGTTACGAGGCAGAAACCTAGGACAGATCCTTCAGCTCAACAACAGTAGCAACAACTACACTAATAGCAGTGACCGATGACAATGAACATGAAGAAGATGACGACGACGACAACAGCAATGATGTGGGACAATGAGTAGTGACAGTAGTAATAATAGTAACTGTAGCAATAATAATAATATTAATAATCATAATATCTAATATGCTAATATCAGTGATATTAGCAATGGCAGACAAGCAGGACCATGGTAGGAGGCTCCACCAGGATCCATGAGAACCTGCGAGACAAGAAAGCACAAGAACTCCGGGGAAGAAGTAAAGTTAGTAACATGCATTAATGGGACATGAATGAGTGTAGAAAGAGAGTGAGAGGAAGAGAGGAGCACAGTGCACCATAGGAAATCCCCCGATAGTCTAGGCCTATAGCAGCATAACTAAGGGATATTCTAAATTTTACAGGGAGCCAATGCAGAGAAGCTAGTACAGGAGAGATGTGATCTCTTTTTCTAGTTCCTGTCAGTACTCATGCTGCAGCGTTCTGAATTAATTGGAGCGTTTTAATGGACTTATTGGGGCAACCTGATAATAAAGAGTTGCAGTAATCCAGCCTAGAAGTAACAAATGCATGGATTAGTTTTTCTGCATCTGTCTGTGATAGGATGTGTCTAATTTTTGTAATATTACGTAAATGAAAGAAGGCAGTCCTGGAGGTCTGCTTTATGTGGGAATTAAATGACAAATCCTGATCAAAGATAACTCCAAGATTCCTGACAGTGGTGCTAGAGGCCAAAGTAATGCCATCTAGAGTAACTATATCTTTAGACAGTGAGTCTCTAAGGTTTCTGGGGTAAGTAACCATTGATCTACAACTGCTTTACAGATAATTACCTTATTGTTTTAAAAAAAATAGATTTCAGTTTCTTATCTTTTGTTCATTAAGAATGGAGAAATGCACAGAGGAATTGTAGAAAGAGGACAAGGTGTGATTCGTAGTCGCTGGAGCAGCCTTCGCCGTCTGACGTTGGAGCGCCTCATCCCAGCAAGGAGGGCACGGTCAGGGGATGAGCTCCGAGCAACTGAAAGTGAAGCCTGGCCTTTGCCCCTCCCCAGAGGAGGACAGTCACGTCCCTTTATGCCCCGCTACGAGTCAACAGGCAGCTCCTGTTTATGTCCGCAAACCGCAGAGCTCTGGAAGAAAGGGCTCAACCAATCAGCTCCCTCTGTCTTTAGCCCCGCCCCCTGCGAAGGTAAGAGGAGGATGACATCACTGCATGCAATCATCAGTCATCAATCATCTGTCCATTTTTCCATTCTTTGTCCTATCTGTCATCCAATCACCAAAGGAGCAACAGTGAGGAAGAACAGTACACCCTCCAGCGCCGTTATCAAAATCACTCTAATGAGCCTTTTATGAAACCTATAACAGACTTAAGAAGAAATCTTTATAATTCATAAAGGCAACTTGTTCCAGTGAGAAAAAAGTTACTAGTAGTTTGGTCCAAATGGCTCAGTGTTTTGTGGGGATGGCTATGATTGGTGAAATTCTCTGGAAACTACAATGTCTGGTTACATTTTCAATTGGTTACAAGTTGCAGTGATTGAATAAAATTGTGCAAAATTCAATTGAGTTTGTGTTAACTGTTGCGGATGCAACATCGCAACTTCCTGGAAGCACTGTCTATTAGTGATGGTGAAAACGTGGAATTAATATTCTCTTCCACTCTTTCGAGTCACCTTTCAACTACACCTGCTGTTAACATAGAAGCACAGAAACAATGTGAATCTCTCGTTACAATCTGAGCTACGACTTTGGAAACTTCATACAAATGAATTAACGATTATATAAATAAATCAATGATTTGCGTTAAAGCAGCTTTTTTCGAATTTTTGTGGAGTTTTTTGAAAATGATTGGTTGTGACAGAACCTACACACTGAATTTTCCCCGTCAATGTGAAGTTTTGAGGACCTCCTGGAAAGCATGTTGCCTTTTGCAACCTTGCAAAGTTTCCTAAGTTAAGAAAGTTCAAATACTTTTAGTCCTCCTCCTTAAAGTAGGACTGCTCTGCTCTGAGATGCTTGATAAGGCCCAGTATCTTACGCAATACAAAAACTTTTTGAGAACAATGTGGACATTTGAAACATACTGTGCAAAGTGAGGAGCACAACTCTGTATCTTAGTCTACCATACATACTACTTTCATTTACTGACAGCATTTCTTCATTTCATTAACAATCAATATTGTCTCCCTGAAGGTAAAAGCTCAAATTCAGTGTGTGTTGGGTACTGATCATCATTCATTCAACCATTTCTGCATTTGTCCATTCCTTGATTGGAAAGTCGATCTCTAGAGTCATCCGGCAAAAGTGTGCCACTTCACCTATCAGTTCATCCATCGTGTATCTTTCAGATACTTTTCATCCTCAACATCTCCAAATCATCACTAAGTCAAAAATTGTTTGCTTCATCTGTCTTTCTTATCTTATAACTTTTTCTCTTGTCTTCATCCGTCTCCCTACATTGAGGTTCATTTTCAGACAAACCCAAACACGACGAGGGAGAAGGTGCCTCTACTGGTGGGAGCAGTGATGACTATGCCTACCCTCCTCCTCCAGTCCCTGCTTACAGTCTTCCTAACTCCCCCGTCTTATACAAAAAGAGGGCTACAGGTGGACACTCAAGGAACGTTCCTACACCTGGCAGGAACCCTCTCAGAGCCCACACAGCTCCTTCTAGTCCCGCGGCTCATCGTTCCACTCTGCAGCAGGGGGTTACCACTCTGCCCACCCATGGCAGGCAACATCGATGTCAAGCTGGATCACATAACAAACGACAACAAGAGCCTCTCAATTGCCCCTTGATGATCCACTCCTCTACTGCTCGTCGTAACAGTGGATGTCAGAATCAACCAAAGCAACATCCTCAACCTTCAGAGCTCACCAAACAGTGCAGCGTGGAGGAGCTCAGGTCCACTGTTCAGACGGTGGCCAGCAGTATTGAGCATGGCACTCAGGATGTTCGCCATCTTGGCCAGAAGATGATGGCAGCGACAGAGATGATCACAGACAGCGTGGAAGATAACGCCCAGGCGATCAGCCTGCTGGCTGAGGTTGTTGACAAGCTCCAGGGACTCATTGTAGCCAGCAAACACCCAGAGCTGCAACGGCACACTCCTCCCCCACCTCCTCCAAGGGTCTCTTCAATCTCTCCAAAAGTGGTCCACAAACCTCCTACACCCTACCCACACCACTTTTCTTCCTCCTCTTCTTCTTCTTCTTGCTCCTCTTCCTCTTCATCCACGTCTGTCAGTTCCTGTGCAGATGGCTTTGCAACATCTAGAAGTGCAAAGCGAATAAACAGAGGCTCTAAAAGGAAGGTGGTGACCTTCAGTGCCACCCCCAGGGCAGGTAGTAATGGACAGGTGAGGCTCAACAATGGATCAGTTTCTAGAGCTCCACTGGAGGACCAACAAGACTGTAACAGCACAGGCTGCTTGACGACTAAGAAGAAGAAAAAAAATAAGTAGGATGGCAGTGAGTGAGTCGCTGCCACAACCTGGAGTTTAAGTATCTTGGGATCTTGTTTATGAGTGATGGTAAATTGGAGCATGAGATGGAGGCAGATTGGTGCGGCATCAGCAGTGGTGTTGTACCGGACCACTGAGGTTCGGAGAGAGGGGAAAGCTTTTGATTTACCAGTCAATCTCTGACCCAACCCTCCCCTGTATGAGCTTTGGGTAGTGATCATAAGAATGAGATTGCGGATACAAGCAGCTGAAATTAGTTTCCTCCATAGGGCGGCTTGGCTCAGCTTAGAGACAGAGAGAGGAGTTCAGATATCCAAAGGGGGAGCTTGAAGTGCTCCTTCGCAGTGCGGTTCGTGCATCTGATTAGGATGCCTCCTGGGCGCCTTCCTTTTGAGGTTTTCCAGGCACATCCAACTGAAAGGAAACCCAGGGGTAGACCCAGAACTCGCTGGAGGGATTATATATCTAATTTGGTTTGGGAATGCCTCCAAATCCCCCAGGAGGAGCTGGAAGTGCTAGTGAGTGGGACGTCTGGAGTGTTCTGCTTGACCTGCTGCCGCTGCAACTCAACCCCCTGATAAAAAGACGATAAGGGATGGAGGTCAACTCTGGCATTGAAAATATACCATCACATTGAACAAAATACCTCTGGTTCTTTAACTTTTTCAATCTATAGATGTACATCTCAGACTGAAAACAATGATCTACATCTGCATTTGGATCCTAATTATTAGTTTAAGGAACAATTTTATATGTTAATGATATCAGAAACAGACTAGATATCAGTTCTTGAACACCTCTGAGAGACGGTTGTTTCATTACCTCTGGATTTAGGACACGAAAAGGAAAACACATTTTTTAAAAATGTATTTAAAAGAGAAATTACATTTCATCCAGATATCCTTAAACTTGACCATTGTCATCACTTTTCTTTTATTCTTTGCAGTTTCAGATACTCTTGTGTTAGTTTAAGACTTTGTTGCAGCAGTGACATTTAGTTGAAGGAAATCCAGGCCCATTAAATCATTGGGTGGATAAATGCACAAATCGATGAGACAATGGTTGCTTGGTCATAGGGTAAATGTGGGTGTCATCTGCATAATAATGATTCAAAGTCGAACACAGATTTTTCACATCACAGTGTGTTTCCGGGAGTTGGAGAGTATTACTGCACAAAAAAGTTCTATAAGGTCTTTTGTGTCACAAACAGCAAGGTTTTGTTCATTCTCTTACGTCCTATTTACATATGAGGAGCACATGAAAGAAAAATTCTGATACATTTTTGCTTTGATTTAAATGTCTGACTGAGAGTATGGTGGCCAGTAGGGATACATTTTTGCTGCAGTGATATCAGCTTTCTGTCATCAGTTGCTTCATCCCATCCTCCATTTGTAGCTTCATGATTTATATTCCCCCTCTGTTTCCCTTCTGTTTATAGTTATACTAGTTATACTAAAGGCTAGTAGCTACACTGTAAATAAGTCTTTATGTTTAGCACCAAAACAGATTTTTGTTCTGTAGTTTTCAAATACACATATATATTAATAAAATTACAAAACAGCCTGTACATGTTAAGTGTAAAATAACATGAAAAATCTGTAACTGTAAAAAGCCATAAAATTAGAAGAATATTTACTGTTTATTTAATTTGTTGTGTAATTTTACATGGATTAGTTTGCTAACTGACAGATATCTTGTATAATTATGGAAGTTGAATAAATGTTGTAAACTGTCCAAATACAGTTTTTATCAGTGTAAACAGCACTAATTACTGTAATTTCACAGATACACATTTATTACAGTTCTATATCTATTAACATTCAGATTAAAATGAGAAATCAAATAATAACAGCACTCTTCTGTAATTTTAAGCCAGATTATTTGTATTATAGCAGAGTTTACCTGTATTTATAGCTCATTCCATTGTTTTTACAGTGTAATTAACCAAAAAAAGATTTTTTGTTAAATTAGATATTAAAACATTTATTTGAATTATAGAATTTTACTGTATTTGTTTTTTTGGTGCTCAGCTGCTGGAATATTACAGTTTTTTTTTTTACAGTGTACTAAAGGTTAGCCATTACTGTGGCCAGTGAAGGGTTAAATTTGGAGTAACTGTCTGTCTGTCAGGGGGCGACTATAAAAAGGGACGAGGAGACGGGAGAGATCTACATCGCCCGGGTGATTCATGGAGGACTGGCCGACCGCAGCGGTGAGATTAATTAAATTCAATTCAATTCAATTTTATTTGTATAGCGCCAATTCATAACAGAAGTTATCTCAGGACACTTTTCTAATAGAGTAGGTCTAGACCGAACTCTTTATAACATTATTTACAGAGACCCAACAGTACCACCATGAGCAAGACCTTGGAGACAAGGGCAAGGAAAAACTGCCTGTTAAAAGGCAGAAACCTAGGACAGATCCTTCGGCTCTAGGTGGGTGGTCATCTGCCTCGACCAGTTGGGGTGAGAGAGAGAGAGAGACAGACAGACAGACAGACAGACAGGTGCACAGTAACAACAGTATTGGCAATGGAAATCTAGCAGGACCATGGCAGGAGGCTCCACCAGGATCGATAAGAACCTGCGAGACGAGAAAGCACAAGAACTCCGGGGAAGAAGTGAAGTTAGTAACATGCATTAATGGAACATGAATGAGTGCAGAGAGAGAGAGGAAGAGAGGAGCTCAGTGCACCATGGGAAATCCCCCGATAGTCTAGGCCTATAGCAGCATAACTAAGGGATGGTTCAGGACTCACCTGATCCAGCCCTAACTATAAGCTTTATCAAAGAGGAATGTCTTAAGCCTACTCTTGAATGTGGTGATGGTGTCTGCCTCCCGAACCACAACTGGAAGCTGGTTCCACAGGAGAGGAGCTTGGTAACTGAAGGCTCTGGCTCCTGTTCTACTTTTAGAGACTATAGGAACCACAAGTAGCCCAGCATTCAGAGAACGTAGTGTTCTAGAGGGGTAATAGGGTACTATGAGCTCTTTAAGATATGAAGGGGCCTGACCATGAAGAGCTTTATAGGTGAGGAGGAGGATTTTAAATTCTATTCTACATTTTTTTTTTTACACTGTATTTACTGTGTGTGGATGTTAATGTGTACACAATATAAGGTACAATTAATGACGTATTAAACATGGTCAGAATGTGTGTGTGTGCCCCAGGACTCCTCCATCCTGGTGATCTGTTAGTAGAGGTGAATGGGAACCCTGTGGTGGGTCTGGAGCCAGAACAGGTCATCCAGATACTGGTAGGTCGCCTGAGAGAAACATTTCATGTTCCAGTGATTTATGAACAAATTGTGCACAATATCAGGCGAATTAGTACCTTTGTGTGTCATTATTTTGTTCCCCTGTCAGATCAACTCTCAGGGAACCATCCTGTTTAAAGTCATCCCAAACACAGCTCAGAGCAGCAGCAGCCTGAAGTCGGTAAGAAACATCCACCAAACAATGATGGATTCTGTCTCTCTGCTACAGTAATGATGGGAGATATCACATTAAACTCACTAAATTAATATAAAAATCACTTGTTGCTGACATAACATCATCTACAGTAATATGAGTATTACATATACTGGACACTGTGCAAAATTCAATTTAAACATGAGATTGTATCTGTATCTGCACTGAGTCAATGCAGTGAGCTTTGTGTTTTCTTTTTTTGATCAGTAAAGTTCACTGAAATGTATTTAAATGAAATTAATAATGACTTTAGACTTTGTGTTGGACTCTGTTGTGGTGGGTGTAAGCGGACTCCATTTATAAGCTAACGTTAGCTAGTGTTGCACACTGTTGGCACTGTAGGGAAGTGGAGAGAAAAGGCACTCAGCAGCATAAAGGTCACATCCTTTGATCCCTACATAGAAACACATGGAAATCAGTCCACAGGCAGCAGAGGAACAAAGCTACGCTACAACCTGTTCACTCTCTGGCAGTAAAATGTGATCAATACTTCTCTAGAAATCTATATTATATTGTATTTTTTGGGAGTTTTCCTTTCATACTTTTCTCTAATCTCTGTCTGTCAGGTGTATATGAGGGCGATGGTGGACTACTGCCCCCTGCAGGACTCCTCCATCCCCTGTCCCGATGCAGGAATGGCGTTCAGCAGAGGAGACCTGCTGGAGGTGGTGGACCAGTCAGACGGACGGTGGTGGCAGGCCAGGAAGCTGCCCTGCACTGTGTCTTGCGCTGGTCTGATTCCCTCTGCCAGCATGCTGAAGGGGTAACACCTCACACATCCTGATCGCCGATCCATCCGGTAATGATGTGCTGCTGATCTCTGATCATTAATCACATTCCTCTCTCTCTCCGCAGTAAACAGAGGGAACAGTGGTGGTGTCAGCCATTACAGGTTCATACCTGCATCAGACCCTGTGAGGACTCATCATTATTATCACTGACATTAAAGGTCAAAAATGAAACACTGGATGTCGCACAAGAGCACCAAAACAATACGGCCCCCCTGACTCTGTTGACAAAATCATATTAATTATCATAAATACACTTTAAACTAGACAGAAACAGAATGAAACTCACCAAAACCGTCTCTGTTAGTGTTTCCAACAATCACCAACTCTGGTTTGGTGGAAATAAATCCTTAATTCATCGACGTAGATGATAAAATATTTGTGAATGATCCTCGAGGACAAATGTACCGTCAGAGTCCGTCCACTTGTTTCTGCCACTGACAGACTCAGGTTGTTATTGTCAGTGTCTGACAGCATTATGAATCCCTACAGAGATAGACCTTTATTTTAACCACAAACAGCCGTATTATCACTATCACACTCCACCAGACTCCAGAGACAGAAACACTCATTTTACCTTTAGATCATTTTAAAACACACTTAAAACTGTAGTTTGATAAATATTTAATTTATTAGTTTTCATAACATGTATTAATTAACACTGGTGTTCAATGGACAGAAAGTTAGTAAAAAAAATATACAGGACGCAGTTATACGACTTTTTTGGTGCAATTAAAACACAACAACACAGAATACAAGATATGCAAAGTAATGTTAATGCTAATGTGATATTGTGCTGCATCATTAGACACATTGAAACACACAGCAGAGGCACATACAGTCCTCGCTCTGTACAAAAATACATTTCAAAGATTAAAAACAAATCAAATTTCAGGTGATTTGGTGGTTAAGTTAAAAGTATTTAATTGTGAATTAATATATATTCATTTTAGTATAAATACTAATGATACACATAGATTTCTGAAAGGACTGTAAATAATAATCAATTTATAGTTAATTTTATTGATCATGAAGTTGAGAGAGCACATTGTTGTGTTCATTGTGTGGGTGCTGTTTGTCTGTAGTTACGGCTGTGTGCCTGCAGGGGGCGGTGTTAATCTGTGTACAGCCCCAATGTGAATAACTGTTTGTTCCTCTGTGTCAACCTGCTGTCCTCAGTAACCCTGGCTCATAACGGTGAGCTGCTGGATACAACAGTTTAGAGTCGTTTAAAGCTCAGTGTAAATAGTTTGTAATGATAATTTATTTATTTATTTATGTTCATAGACTGTATAATAATTCTGGACGTAGCTTCCACGTCTGAAAAGTGAAGCCAATTTCAGTTTCATGTTGGACTTTAATACGTCCTCAGATTCTCAGTCAGATCCACGCTCTCATCCAAACGGCCACAATGGTGCCAAACTCAAGGCTTCAGACTGGCAGTCCTCAGACCGATGGGTGGCTACGTCCACGTGTATCATACAATCTGTGTTAGCTGTGGTCGAACTAAATATTCTGTAGGACATTTCCATCATTTAAAGGGCCAGTGTGTAGAATGTAGTGCCATCTAGTGGTGAGGTTGCAGATTGCAACCATATGAATACTGTAATAATAATGTAATATAATAATAATAATGAAACTCACAGTATTAATGAACACATACGAATATTAGATTACATTTCTTACCAAAAACCTTTTTTATTCCAGAGGACGATCGAACTGAAGTCCAACGCAGCGTCTCGGGTAAAACGTGATTAATATGATTCAACAGAAATTACCCATCATCCCTCAGTGCAGTGGAAGTGACTCCTGTCTTTGTCTTTTCCTCAGAGCTGGAAGAACCACACTTTGGTAGGTGATCAGACTGATTGATCGCTGCTGATCAGTTTGTGATTCTTTCTGCTGTTTTACATTGTTTAATCTGTCAGTAAGTACACAGATACCATCTACAGTACAGAGTGCAGTACGGCCTCTCTTATTTATTATAACAATTATTAGATTGTTAAAAAGAAGTTCCGATACACAGATCTGTTTTCAGTTTGTGGACCATAATCTGTTCTTATTGAAATATTGATCAGTTATTGAAAGCATGAGAGAAGATTAAAGGAGAAATAAACTCAGCCACAGCTCGATGCTGCCCTCTGCTGGAAGGACTGAAACATTTAAAACATCTCCTGTTATTCTAATGGGGCCATTCAAATACTTTATTCAGTTATTAAACAGAAAAGACTGTAGATAATTGTCTTTAATGTAATTATGACAGTAAATACAAATAACAACCTGTACTTTGTTTCTTCATTTGATTGTTATTTATTAAGGCATTTTTCCAGTACAATGATTGACTTTATGAGTAAATATTACTGAACAGCAAAATATAAAATGTTCTTTAATCCTGAAGAGTTGTAATGTTTTCTTTCTTTAGATGAGGATGACTGTGACGTTTCTGATGGGATCTACCTGGGTAAGTCAGTCAGATTGTGGTCTGGTGGTAAAAAGGTAATTTGAAGAATGAGACACGGGCTTCAGCTGCTTAAAACTGAATGCATTACCAAAGATCATCCAGATATATATAGAAAATACCATTTATATCATCTCCTATTAATCCCTTACTGAACATACAGTAGCTACATGAATGAATAAATGAATGAATGAATGAATGATGTTCTCTCTCATCAGCGGGTTTCCGACGAAGTTTCCGTCTCTGGAGGTCCTACAGGAGGAGACGACAGTCCTGCACCTCCTGCTCCCCCAACAGCAGCGCTCTGTCCACCCCGTACGAGGAGGTGGCTTTGTACCAGCGCCCCCCTCAGGAGAACCACCGCCTCATCATCCTCATTGGTGAGAGAGGAAGGTTGAAATGAACCTGGATCAGCTCCTCACGAATCCTTCAGTCCTTCCTCGGTTCTCAGTAACTAATTAAATAAGGATAATTCAAACTTAATAAATGTTTCAGCTAGTAAAGACTTCAGGAAACCTCTGTAGCGCCGTCCAATCAGGAGCAATCAGCAATGTAAACAGGAAGTAACTGTAGGATCACAAGCTAGCATAACGTCCACTTTTAAAGGCTAAAATATAAATCACACTGTGTGTTTCAGAGATAATAATATTCATCTAGTTTATAACGAGAGGGAAATATCTGTTCATGCTAAGCTAACTGACATTATTTACTCACTTAATCAAATGTTATTAGCATAGCTTTTGATAATTTAAGATATGCTGCGTTATTTTAGTGAAATGTGATTTAAAATCTTTCAGATTTAATCATCGATCAAGTTTCAGGTCAGATATTAGCATGCTAACATTAGCTTTATTATTTAGCTCCACAACAGTTACACCCGGAAGTTAGTGGGTTTAAATATTTAGTAACATTTAATCTCTGCGGGAGAATTAGTTTGTGAGCTGCAACCTGGATTAAATTAGTGATGATAAAACTCACTAACATTAGCATGAGGCTAGGTTTGAACTGCTGAACTTCAACTGGTACAACAGTAAATCACTGGAGAGCCACCTGTGTAAAACTCTGTATAATCAGAGTATGTATACCCCCCCCCCGACAGGTGCTTCAGGAGTTGGAGTTACTGAACTGAGGAAACGACTCATCAAACTGAACCCTTCCTCCTACCAGGGACCCGTACCTCGTATGTTTACACATTCATTCAAAGTGTCTTCACACAGATTAAAACCGGATTTATGATCATGTTGTTGTAAAAGGCCGTAATAAGGTGGTAGTGTGATCTCATAGTCTCATAATCCACATTCTAACTGTTTTTGTTTTTAATGATACATAAAATAACCTGAAATTTAAACAAAGTACAGTAAAAGGGAATATGCCAATACAGTTTACACATAAATGATGATGCTAGCAGCTCTGGCTTTATAATAATAATAATATTAATAATAATAATAACTACATACCAGTTTTTGATTGGCTGTCGCCCTGTTCCTCCAGACACCACTCGTCCAATCAGAGCAGGGGAGCGGACAGGAAGAGAGTACCACTTTGTGACCAAAGAGCTGTTTGAGTACATGGTCTGCAACCACAGGTGGGCTCTGTTTTCTATTTATTTTGTTGTAACTTACCCTCACTAAGCCCCGCCCCCTTATTCATCTGTGCTCCAATCACAGTTGAGCAAGCCTCAGTTAGCTTCCTCCTTTCCTGTACTTAGATATGCTATATGCTAGGCTAATCTATGTTTGAAAGACAGCCACATTTTGAAGATGGCTGGCTAGTTACGTCTGATAGCTCAGGTTAGCGAAACACTATTTGATTATTTAGGTAAAGATTTTTGTAGATTGGATACCTAGTTAGATCATTAGTTAATGTTAATGTTGTTAATGCTAGAGAGCAAGACTAGCTCGCTGATCTACATAAATTGTTAGTTTCTGTTTTGCTCACATTAGCTCTCAGATATAACTATCCAGCTAATGATTGATGTAGATTAGCTAGTGTTTTGCTAATATTAGCTTATTTAAGATGTGGCAATATATATGTCTCTTTTATCTTTTATAAACATCTTATCTTATCTTATGACAGGTTAGCCTAGCATATAGCATATCTAAGTACAGGGAAGGAAGTTGACCCTTCAGTTTAGGTCTTTTGATGTTTACAATGTTTACAATGTAACCACATTAAAGATCTCTGAGAATATTTCACTCTTCTCATAGAATCTAACTTTGCTACATTGTTTCCTGTATTGGAATTAATTGTGTTTCATTTATCATGTTTTTCTAACTTTGTACCGTTGTTATGTGTTCAGGTTTGTGGAGTATGGGGAGTATAAGGGCCACCTTTACGGGACAAGCACCGACGCCATTGATGAGGTGCTGAAACGAGGACGGATGTGCATCATCGATGTTGAACCACATGTGAGTTTCATTAAGAAACACGGATCCACTTATTTTACTTTCTTTTATTCTGAGTCGAGGGTCTGAGGACAGAGGGGGTCGTGTGCTGTACAGAGGCAAATCTGTCAGTTTATTATTATTTTTTTATTATTATTGAATTCTATTTTCTTAATTTGAATCGTTGGAAGCAAAGACTCAATACTGTCTGAAGACAAAAACGCTCACTGTAGTTTTTATCAAACAGAAAGGAAATAGTAAATTTGTTGAGAACTATTTTCAACTAATTACCTAGCTAATACGCTAATCAAATCTAATCAAATCTAATCAATTGTTAGCTGTCTAGTAACATCTGATAGCTCAGGTTAGCAAAATGTTGGTAATTACCTAGCTAATACACTAATCTAATCAAATCTAATCAATTGCAAATAGTTAAGCTAAGCCATAGTTAATTGGCTAGTTAATAGGTAATTACTTAGCTAATGATTTCTATAGATTAGAAAGCTAGTTAGCTCACATTTTGGTACAGAACAAAAACTAGGTAGTGAAGCTAATGAATCTATATCAATCATTAGCTTCTGTTTTGCTAACATTAGCCATCAGATGTAACTAGCTAGCTATTGATCAATGTAGATTAGTTAAGTAGCTACCGTTCTGGTCTGTCTCTGCATTTGTTGGGGACTATTTTCAGCAGCGGATTAATACAGTAACTCCAGATGTGTGGGTTTTATTGTCAGTCCATCCAGCCGCTGAGGACGAGGAAACTGAAGCCTTTCGTAATCTTCATCAAACCTCCCAACTCGGACAGACTGAGACAAACTCGGAGAGAAGCCCGAATCATCACCAATTACACCGTCAACAGAGCCTTCACGGTAATTTCACCTCGTAGTGAAAGTGACAACTCAAATATCACATCTCACCTCTTAAGTTAGCAAAACACTAGCCAAGATCCGAGCTAACACAATAAGTGTTCGTCCCTCTGCAGGAGGATGACTTTGTGGAGCTGGAGGAGGTGTCCCTGCTGATCGAGGCGAAGTACAAACAGTTTTTCGACGGCGTGCTGGTGAACGACGACCTGCAGGACACCTGCATGCGGCTCTGCTCTGTCATCCAGGAGGCGCAGAACGAACCACAGTGGATGCCGGTCAGCTGGAGCCGGACGCCGGAGTAAAGCAGGAGAGGAGTGAAACATCAGGATGGGAATGAAGAAATACGAGAGAGAATAAGTGACGGATAAAAGAGGACGATGTTGAGTGGAATATAAAGAACTGGTGACAGGAACAGGGAGGAGACCTCGACATGGAGACAAATGGGAGGAGCAGGAACAGGATCAGGTGCTTCTTCGTGTGTTTGCCTCCACCCTGAGACCGCAGTGAAGGAAACGTGTAACTCAACCAACGGATTCGGCTATAAAGTAGCTTGTACTTAGAGGCGGAGGCCGCCATTCCCATGTGGGATTCGGTTTGTCTACTGAAACACAACGGACTGAGAGGAAACGCTGCAGCATGTATTTCAGTGTTACTGTTTGTATTCTGATTGATATCAGCCTCATTGTTCACAGCTAGATTAGCTTACTGCTAATGCTAACACAACATTTCCCACTGCTTACTTATACTACTTACTAATAGTGACACCAGTGGTCATTAAGTGAACTGCAGGCAGTGTCCTGTTGCTTGCTACACTAGACTAAAGCTAGTTAACAGTATTTTAATACATTAGCTAGCAAGCAATTAATCCGTGTTAGCAATCAAGCTAACGTTATCCAGCTAACAGCACAATCAGACAATATGTTCCACTAGCTTAGCATTAATGTTAGCTTTGACTTTGGACTCTGTGTTGGACTCTGTGTTGGACTCTGTGTTGTGGACTCTGTGTTGTGGACTCTGTGTTGGACTCTCTGTTGTGGACTCTGTGTTGTGGACTCTGTTTTGTGGACTCTGTGTTGTGGACTCTGTGTTGGACTCTCTGTTGTGGACTCTGTGTTGGACTCGTGTTGGACTCTGTGTTGTGGACTCTGTGTTGTGGACTCTGTGTTGGACTCTGTGTTGGACTCTGTGTTGTGGACTCTGTGTTGGACTCTGTGTTGTGGACTCTGTGTTGGACTTTTGTGTTGGACTCTGTGTTGTGGACTCTGTGTTGGACTCTGTGTTGTGGACTCTGTGTTGGACTCTGTGTTGTGGACTCTGTGTTGTGGACTCTGTGTTGGACTTGTGTTGGACTCTGTGTTGGACTCTGTGTTGGACTCTGTGTTGTGGACTCTGTGTTGGACTCTGTGTTGGACTCTGTGTTGTGGACTCTGTGTTGTGGACTCTGTGTTGGACTCTGTGTTGGACTCGTGTTGGACTCTGTGTTGGACTCTGTGTTGTGGACCTTGTGTTGTGGACTCTGTGTTGTGGACTCTGTGTTGGACTCTGTGTTGTGGACTCTGTGTTGTGGACTCTGTGTTGGACTCGTGTTGGACTCTGTGTTGGACTCTGTGTTGTGGACCCTGTGTTGTGGACTCTGTGTTGGACTCTGTGTTGGACTCTGTGTTGGACTCGTGTTGGACTCTGTGTTGGACTCTGTGTTGGACTCTGTGTTGTGGACTCTGTGTTGGACTCTGTGTTGTGGACCCTGTGTTGTGGACTCTGTGTTGGACTCTGTGTTGGACTCTGTGTTGTGGACTCTGTGTTGTGGACTCTGTGTTGGACTCTGTGTTGTGGACTCTGTGTTGGACTCTGTGTTGTGGACTCTGTGTTGGACTCTGTACTCTGTGTTGTGGACTCTGCATTGGACTCTGTGTTGGACTCTGTTGGCACTCGGGAGCATAAAGGTCACAACCTTTGACCCTCATCCTACATAGAGACACATAGAGATCAGTCCACAGACAGCAGAGGGACAAAGCTCCACTACAACCTGTTCACTCTCTGCTGATCAATAATCAGATTATTATAAAAACATTCAGAATCTGACAACAACTGATGTTCTGATGGTGTTATCACAGACAAGACACTTCAATAAATATGTTATTGCTTATGCTAATTAAAGATCAGGATAAAATCATGTGCATGTGTCTTCTTCTTACTTACTCTAAACCACCCCCCCTCTGTGTGTGTTTGTCAGGTTAATCCTTCACAGGGCAGATGTAGCTCAGCCGATTTAACGGAGGGATTAGTGTCTTCTCCAAGCATCATTCAGCTTTACTGTTGTCCATACAAACAGCAGACCTGACAGATAACTCCTCAACCTGACAGCGCTTCATTCTCTTTATATGTTCACATAATCTTTAGAAACCAGCTCACTCTTCACTACATTTAAATCTAATCTAAGAGAGAGAGAGAGAGAGAGAGAGAGAGAGAGAGAGAGAGACAGACAGAGAGAGACAGAGAGACACACAGAGAGATGTTTATCATCCACTGTTTAGATCTTGGTGCTTTTTAACTCTAGATTTGAACCGGATGAAGGATTTTAGGATCTTAAGTTATCAGAGAAACAAGCTGAGCTAACGTTGGCAGCAGTTATTGTTTGGATGTGAGAGACCCCCTAGTGGCAGAAAATACATATCATACATTTATTTTCACAGTAAGCATTGCTGCAATGATGTTACAGGTATATTTTGTGTAGTTTTCATCATTGTTTATTGTACATCATTAAAGGACAAGAGTAGTACAAAGTTCACCAAATGAACAAGAGGTCCCCTCTTTGATAGGTAGACATCACTGAAGGATGGAAGTCCCCACTTGGTAATTTCTTTTAAAGAAAAGCCCATTTGCAGTAATATTATGGTAATAGACCTTAAAGGTAACATTACTGTTGTATTTTTGTTGTTTTAAGCTTTTAAACAAACAGAAATATTAGTCCACACTTGGTCCTGTAGACTCATAGTCCACTGTTGGTGATGTAGGACTGTATATGTGTGTATGGTCTAATTGGATTCGGTGTGTTGACCTGGTTTCTGTGGTGTAAAGGTTTTACTTTTGACCTGTTAACCTCGAGAGAACCAACCCACCTGCTGACAGTAACAATGATCTCATCTGACCTTCTGACTTGAGACTCAGAGCCATCAGAGAGACAAAATAAACTTTTATCACCCTGTAAAGTAGGTCAATAACGTCTACTAAAAACATTAAAAACAATGGAAATACTTACTTTAAAGTCCAGATGAAATTAAAAATATCTTTTAAATCCTTTCAGATCACATGCACAGTCATACTGTATCCCTATTTAACAATGTATTTAACAATGTACGCCAGAAATGACAAAAACTCTTTCAACAACCTTTTGTGCAAAAACTTTATTTATTATTAATTATATTGTTATCACTGTACAAACACACAACTTTATCAGTGATCTTAGTGAAACTGGATTATATTTTGTGGAGAGAATATCTTCTGGTTTTCCCTAACAGGCCAGTTTGACAACAGCAGTATTGATTACAGCGGTTATATACAGAGTTTCCTGATGTTCTTCATGCTAAAAGTAGCTATCTGTTGCCAGTGGTAATGTAAGCTACTAATAGCTCGTGCAGCTGCCAGGATCCACCTCAGTTCTTTATTCCCTGCAGTCAAACTGTCCTCCGTCCGCATTAGATGCTGCATTCAGTCCTGGTCTGGACCTGCTGTTCACTGGGAGCTCCCAGTCCAACAGAGTCCTCTAATGGAGCCACTACAGCTGCTGGAAATAGGAGGAAGCTAACAGCTCCCTGGTTCCGGTTCACTGGACTATAATTATCTAATTGGGAATACCTGTGTTTACCCTACTGTCAAACCAGCTGCTGTGAAAAAGGTGCGTTGGATCTGTTGGTGAGGAAGTATTAGCCTCAGTACTTTGGAGCACCGCCAGCAGATGACATCACAGCTGATCGACCAACCATTAAGCTACCAGAGGCTGTCACTCACACTCAGCTCAGCACATGATCCACCTGTCACTGTAAACCCCGGGACGAGGCTCAACGCTCCCAATGAGCCTCCTCCTCCACTCCCTCTTCCTCCCTCTTGTTCCTCCGTCTCTCCTTCCTTTGGATTCATACTTTAAGTTTTCTGTTTAAAGATTTCAAGCGGCCATCTTCAATACACCTTTTACGGTTAAACACGGGAAGAAGACAGAGAAATAAAGAGCAGCAGGGTGAGTTTTTACACTGAGACTCACACTAAGACTCCTGAGATCAGAGACAGACGGGGGAGGCAGTGACTGTCTGTTGTGGTTCCTCTGCACACCGAGTCAGCTGCATAGGTGAGCAGTGATTCACTGAAATACACCTGCTTTAAAAACATGCTTGGTAGAGAAATAGTTCCTCCTTCAGAAGAGAGAGAGAGAGAGAGAGAGAGAGAGAGAGAGAGAGAGAGAGAAGGTATAATCTAGCAGCGACCCTGATTTGAATTAATAGCTAACAGCTCTGATATTATGGTTCGATGTAGTGTGAACACTGATGGTGATATTCAAACTGATTTAAGGTTCAGCAACGTTGAGTGTGAAACTGTGAGCTAACAGAAGAGTGAAAAGATGATTGACAATGTGTTTTTAACCTTTTACTGTTCCTCCTGTTGATGTACTGCTACTAGTAAGAGTTACACCAACATTAAATGTATGTATTGATGGATTAGACTTTAGTCATTGTGGTCATTTACAAAACTAACATCCTGTCGTAGAAATACTGAAACCTTAAAAATATGTTGTCTACAAATCCTAAAAACACTAATTTCCAAATTGACTGAATGTGTACGGGAGCCCTGAAAGTCAAATATATTGTTTTTAATACGTTTTTAATTTAGTTTAATCTGTTTTCACAAATTAAAAAAGAACATTATAAACTATAATTATCGTCAAACCTTTTCTTTGACTTGACCTTCAGGATCTAATGGTGAATAGAATAGTAAAGGTGGATAAGTAGGACGCCTGCAACAAGTCCTTCAAACTACAACAAACATTGTGTTTTTGAGTCTACTGTTTAGAGCAGCGGGTCCCAATCTGAGGGTCAGGACCCCCAGTAGGGGTCAGCTAAAGCTTCATGGGGGGGTCGTGAGGCCTTCTTGATCCACAGTAGTTCGATAGCTCAGTGTTTACTTAATTTTAGTTTTATGTTTTTTTACTTATTTTTGTTTAGATTATTATTTAAATATAAACTTTAAAGATTTGGACTCAGTCTATATTCACAGACCCTCTCTGGTACACTCATACTGCATTAGAAAGGTATCTATAAATATATACATACATAATACAGACAGACAGAAAAACTCCAACCCATTTTAGGCAATATTCACAGGAAATAATCCAAAATCTTCTTCACTGTTTGTTTCTGTTACTGTTGAATTTAATCTGAAATATCCATAAAATATTTCAGATTACATTCGGTCAATTTACTCAGTGATAGAAAAGAAAGGAAAAAGGTTGGGAAGCACTTCTCTACAGCGATATACACAGCTGGGTGGGGGATAACAAGCTCCTTCATTCAGATTCATTTTATAAATAACTGAAATGAATTCAATGATCTATTATGGTCACATTTTTGACTCAAAGACATTAGATATTTCTATTCACTGCTTTATTAATGTGGTTTTGAGTTAAAATATCTTCATTTGGGGGATTTTCCAATGATTTATTAGTCTATGTGATCAGATATATTCCTGCCCTCTGTCTCCTCGGCAACCTGTAGACAACATTAGCTGTTTTATGACAGACTGTGGTGAAGGTTTCGGTAAGTTTAGGCACAGAAACAACTTGGTCAGGTTTAAAGATCTGTCTAGCATAGCTAACGTACATTAACAGTTAAGCTAACTTTAGCAGTGGATTAAACGAGCTAAACAACTGCCTCTCCACAGAGCTCGTACCCCGTCCGACTGCTGTTCAGATCGTGGTGTGTTTTCAATTGGAGTTTGTGGAAGAGTTAAATATCTTTCATCACTCTCTGCTGCCATGGCAACCGAGGTCAAAGTTTTTGAACAATGATTGGTTGCAGTTTCTGAGCGGTGCGTCCCCGTCCTCGATCTCCCCACAGGAAAACAAAACCACATGACTTTAAATTAGATATCATCTTTTTGAGTTATGCAAACTTCTAATGAAATTAGGTTTAACAAATGTACATTGAGTTGGGGGAATCAGCTTTTCCACTACAATCGAAGGTATTTTTTATTACCCCTTACTTAATCTGCAGCATAAACACTAGTTTTTAAGTTGATTAGGGTCATGAAAATGAACTTGTTCCAACTAGTTTTTCCACATTATTAATGTCCACACAATTCAATAAGGTTGAATGAGATGGCCAGATAGCAAAGAACACAAAGTTTACACAAATATAAAAATTCACTAACCAAACCTAACGCTACATTCAGCCTTGACCTCTGAACCCATCCTAACTATTCCTGAGTGAATCTATTGTCGTAGAACAGCATCCTGTGAGACAGGAAGACAGGAAAAGGAACTTCAAGCAATATTTTCTACTGTAATTAAATGTGAATGAATTAAGGGAGAGAGTTGGAGGAGGTTGTGAGGACGGGGGTTGTGAGGACGGAGGTTGGGGGTACGGGGGTTGTGAGGACGGAGGTTGGGGGTACGGAGGTTGTGAGGACAGGGGTTGGGGGTTGGGGGTACGGGGGTTGTGAGGACGGAGGTTGGGGGTACGGGGGTTGTGAGGACAGGGGTTGGGGGTTGGGGGTACGGGGGTTGTGAGGACGGAGGTTGGGGGTACGGGGGTTGTGAGGACGGAGGTTGGGGGTACGGGGGTTGTGAGGATGGGGGTTGTGAGGACGGAGGTTGGGGGTACGGAGGTTGTGAGGACGGGGGTTGTGAGGAAGGGGTTGGGGGTACAGAGGTTGTGAGGACGGGGGTTGTGAGGATGGAGGTTGGGGGTACGGAGGTTGTGAGGACGGAGGTTGTGTGGACGGGGGTTGGGGGTACGGGGGGTTTTGAGGACGGGGGTTGTGAGGATGGGGGTTGTGAGGACGGAGGTTGTGAGGACGGAGGTTGGGGGTACGGGGGTTTTGAGGATGGGGGTTGTGAGGATGGGGGTTGTGAGGACGGAGGTTGGGGGTACTGGGGTTGTGAGGACGGAGGTTGTGTGGACGGGGGTTGTGAGGATGGGGGTTGTGAGGACGGAGGTTGGGGGTACGGGGGTTGTGAGGACGGAGGTTGGGGGTACGGAGGTTGTGAGGACGGAGGTTGTGTGGACGGGGGTTGTGAGGATGGGGGTTGGGGGGATGGGGGTTGTGAGGACGGAGGTTGTGAGGACGGAGGTTGGGGGTACGGGGGTTTTGAGGACGGGGGTTGTGAGGATGGGGGTTGTGAGGACGGAGGTTGGGGGTACGGGGGTTGTGAGGACAGAGATTCTGAGGACGGGGGTTGGGGGTACGGGGGTTGTGAGGACGGAGGTTGTGAGGACGGAGGTTGGGGGTACTGGGGTTGTGAGGACGGAGGTTGTGTGGACGGGGGTTGTGAGGATGGGGGTTGTGAGGACGGAGGTTGGGGGTACGGGGGGTTGTGAGGACGGAGGTTGGGGGTACGGAGGTTGTGAGGACGGAGGTTGTGTGGACGGGGGTTGGGGGTACGGAGGTTGTGAGGACGGAGGTTGTGTGGACGGGGGTTGTGAGGATGGGGGTTGTGAGGACGGGGGTTGTGAGGATGGGGGTTGGGGGGACTGGCAGCTTTATACTGTATTCATTTGCGGACATATATTTTTAAACCTGAAGTCAGTAAAACATTTGAACAGAAACAAACGTGGAGTCTTAATTCAGGACAGGAAATCAATGCATATAAAAATATATCAACGTATTAAATTGTGTCATATATATTCTTACACTGGCCTAAATAATGATGCGCTGTCTAGTGATGTAGATCAGCTACAGCAATCATTCAGAAGTGTCTCTCATACAGTATTATCGCTCTCTGCTGGTCGGAGGAGTTAAATATAAAATACATATATTTATGACAATAAAACATATGATTGGTTAGCGGCTGTAGTTCGGTGGAAAGAAAACATTCCCTCTGTGAAACAAGGTGTGTGGATTATCTTGTTGAGAGGAAACACTGAAACCAGAACCAGGTTACAGTGAGCTGATTAACATCACACACACACACACACACACACACACACACACACACAATTTCATACAGCAGAACTTCCTGTAAAGAACATCAGTCTTTAAAGTCGTCCTCAGAGCTCCGGCTCATCCAATTATCTGAAACATCATCAGCTCCCGGCCACCGGCAGATCCTCATTAAACATTAATTAACTGACCATACAGACGCCGGTAGATCCCCGTAATTGACTTTATTCACATGACAGCCATTTTGATCCTCTTACAGAGAAACGGCACCATGCCGACAGTGAAGAGTAAGAAGAAGAAGCTGAAGAAGGAGGTGACGGAGGGCGAGGAGCAGGGGGAAGGTGAGAACTGACGGAGTCTGGCGCTGCAGCTCGCTGTCTCTTCCTCTTTATTCTACCCCGTTGTTGTTGTTGTTGTTGTTGTTCTGCAGCCGGTCTGGAGGTGGAGATGGAAGAAGTGACCAACAGGAGCCACTCTGACAGCAGGGACCCTTTGACCCCAGAGCCACAGGATCCAGCACCACAGAAGAAGAAGAAGAAGAAGAAGGCGCCTACTATCGGTAGAACACCGGTCCTAAGCCTCACCCCTCTTATGCATAATTATACCCAATCTACATAAATCAGTCCCGAGCTCCAGAAACTCTAGTGGGGGGCGCCAGTGAGCCAGTCGACCCCCCCACAGTCACACACTACTGCAGCCAACAGCAACGTTCCTACTAAATCACTGCTTAACTAAATAATTAATAACTTATATTGTCAGAGACAAACGCCAAGACAGCACCATCATCCTCCTCTTCCTCTTCTTGCTCATCTTCCGCTTCTTCCTCCTCTTCCTCTTCTTCCTCCTCCTCTTCCTCCTCCTCTTCCTCTTCCACCTCTTCCTCTTCTTCCTCTTCCTCTTCCTCTTCCTCCTCAGTAAAACAAACCAATGCTAGCTGCTTATGTGACCTCTGCGAAATTTCTTCTGTTTAAATGAATGTCTGGAGCTGGTCAGGTTTGTGGTAACAGCAGGTTTATTCCATATCTGCATTCATGAAAAAGGACAATAGGGTCGAACGGTCATCTGTAGTGGACAAACAGCGCATACTCTTTCTTGTGGCAAATCCTCCGTAGCTTTTAGGATCACTCATATGTTTACATTCTTGAAGTTCTATACTCTGTACAATAGACTACAATAATACAGTGATCATATAGTGGGTTTGAATCCATGTAAACAAAATAAATGTAACAGAAAACTTAAACAAAGATATAATTATACAGGTTTCTCACACTGGACTGTTACCTTTTTTTAGTATTTTTCATTTTACAATAACAATTATGTAACTTCATTTCAATACAAAATACAGAACCAAGTAAACCATATAAAATACCTCATCTGCATGTTAAAATATTATCACACGCTATAAAACAACATAACATACCTGCATTCATGACAAAGGACAATAGGGTAGAACGGTCATCTGTAGTGGACAAACAGCGCATGCTCTGTCTGGAAAGACGGCATTGTGTTAATGTTAGCTAGCTATACTGGAGAGATTTTTACTGGCAACAAAACACATAAAATCAAATTGTTAACTTCATAAAAACATGGCGAATTTAATCTATGACAAATAATATCCGACCTAATAAAGCCAGTTCAACTTTTATGTGCTTTACTAATTAGTAAACATTGTTTTGTCCACGGACTTTCACAGACACGTTACCTTGTGGCAAATCCTCCGTAGCTTTGAGGAGAACCAATAATCCTTTGCTATTACAACTCACTGCAGGTACAAACTTATAACAGCAGGTGGCATAGTTGTCCCATTTAGCGGGATTTAACCTGAACCTTTTCAACTATGTTACACTTACACTGTGATATTAATATTTATCTTCATTCTTTATTCTTTATTCTTCTTTTAATGAAACATGAACCACAAACATTAACCTTTAGTGCCCTTTTACCTTATTTTGCCTCAAAAAATATAAAATATATAAAATAATACTGTCATTGAGTGTAAGAGAAAATGTTGATGGTTTGTTAATAACTGAGAAACAGTCAAAGAGAAATTATAATCTAACACAACAGATGAATATTGATATTTGAGACACATGAGTCAGAACAGTTCAGAAACCCGACCGTGTCTTCCTGTCAGATCAGGACGTTGAGCACGCCGACATGCCGAACGGTAACATGGACGAGTCCGCGGTGGACGGAGAGGAGACGACTGTTGCTGTGACCAGAAAGACGAAGAAGAAAAGGTGAGTGACCTGATGATGGAGGAGGATCAATAAAGTGATCACAGCTGTATTCCAGTCTGTATCTCACACTGCAGGAGGGCGAAGGCGACGGAGCACTACAGCAACGACCTTGGGGTCGAAGACGATGACATCGTCACAGACGCCCAGTCGCCAATGCCCCAACGCTCGCTGTTCTCAGCCCCGCACGGACACAGCCAGCCGGTCGGCAAAGTCTTCGTGGAGAGGAACAGTGAGTTCAGTGAATGCACCACGGTTATTGATAACAGTACAGCCAGTCAAACAGAGCCAATCAGACAGAGCCAATCAGACAGAGCCAATCAAACAGCCAATCAAACAGAGCCAATCAGACAGAGCCAATCAAACAGCCAATCAAACAGAGCCAATCAGACAGAGTCAATCAGACAGAGCCAGTCAGACAGAGCCAATACACAGAGCTAACATTAATGCCATGAGTCAGAGAGCTAAAGTTATGCTACGAGTCAGAGCAGCACCCAGCAGCCAATCAGAGTCCAGTATTCACTGACTGGCAGAATTTGTGTCTATGTGGGTCACTGACAGCCGACCCTGTGTGTGTGTGTGTGTGTGTGTGTGTGTGTGTGTGTGTGTGTGTGTGTGTGTGTATAATCTGTGTGTGTGTGTGTGTATATAATGTGTGTGTGTGTGCGTGTGTGTGTGTGTATAATGTGTGTGTGTGTGTGTGTGTGTGTGTGTGTGTGTGTGTGTGTGCAGGGCGTTTCCAGGCAGAGCGAGTTGAGCAGCTCCGACACTCAGAACTGATGGACGACTACATGGACCCCAGACAGATCTGGACCACCAAAGACGTTGCTTTGAGGGTCCACAGTAGCTTCAGGTCTGCAAACACACACACACACACACACACACACACACACACACACACACACACACACACACTATATACAACCGAATAAATGTTGATTCAACTTAATCTCTTAAATTCACCAAACTAAAATTACTTAAATTAAAAAAAAATGTGTTCAGTTGAATTATTACGTTGAGCTAGGTTACAATCTTTTACAGTGTAGCCAGTGTGAGAGCGTGGTATATATTATTATATAATATAAAATATATATATTATATAATAATCCGTTTGCAGGGTGATCGGTCTCTTCTCTCACGGTTTCCTGGCCGGCTACGCGGTGTGGAACATCATCGTCGTGTACGTGTTGGCGGGCGAGCAGATGACCACGCTGCCCAACCTGCTGCAGCAGTATCACCTGCTGGCGTACCCGGCCCAGTCCCTGCTGTACCTGCTGCTCGCCATCAGCACCGTGTCCGCTTTCGACAGGTTACACACAGTATCAGTGCTTTATTAATATTATTATATCTGCTGCATTAATGTCACACTTTACTGCTGTAGATGTGGAAGGCTGAGATCAGTTTAATTTACAGCAATGCATCATATTATATAAGATCATATTCTATAAGATCAATATATTATATATGATCATCATATTCTATAAGATCAATATATTATATAACATCATATTCTATAAGATCATCATATTCTATTAGATCAATATATTATATAAGATAATATTCTATAAGATCAATATATTATATAAGATCATTATATTCTCTCTGTTACCTGCAGGGTGAACCTGGCCAAGGCCTCCATGGCACTGAGAGGATTCCTCACCCTGGACCCTGCTGCTCTGGCCTCCTTCTGTAAGTGACACAAAGGCAGAATAATGAGTTAGGTATTGGTACATTAGTATAAGGTATTGGTACATTATGATAAAGTATTGGTACATTACTATAAAGTATTGGTACATTACTATAAGGTATTGGTACATTACTATAAGGTATTGGTACATTACTATAAAGTATTGGTACATTACTATAAAGTATTGGTACATTACTATAAGGTATTGGTACATTACTATAAGGTATTGGTACATTACTATAAGGTATTGGTACATTACTATAAAGTATTGGTACATTACTATAAAGTATTGGTACATTACTATAAGGTATTGGTACATTACTATAAAGTATTGGTACATTACTATAAAGTATTGGTACATTACTATAAAGTATTGGTACATTACTATAAGGTATTGGTACATTAGTAGAAGGTATTTGTCACGACTGAACTATGGACCAGAACCCAAATGCACAACTGTCAGACGAAAGTTTCAAAATAAAGTTTTTATTAACAAGCAGAAAATCACTCTTATGAGGTAATGCTAAGACTAAGAAAACAAACAGAAAATCACTCTTAAACAAACAAAACAACAAGACCTGAAAATGGCAGTGGTATAGATAAAGTGCTGGTTCTCTGACACATGGGACAAGACAAACTGGCACAGGACAAAGGGAGACACGGACTATATATACACACAAGGTAAGGGCACAGGTGGAAACAATCAGGGCGGAGACAGGTAATCCCAAGAGTGGGAAAACAGACAAAAGGGAGAAAGTAAAACTGGTGACAAGAGACAGACAGGAAGTGGAACCAAAATAAAACAGGAAATCACAAGACAACATAGACACGAGACAAAACTGAATGAATTAACTTAACAAAGTTTCCTGGACATGACAGTATTGGTACATTAGTATAAGGTATTGGTACATTATAATAACGTATTGGTACATTATAATAAGGTATTGGTACATTATAATAACGTATTGGTACTTTATAATAAGGTATTGGTACATTATAATAACGTATTGGTACATTATAATAAGGTATTGGTACTTTATAATAAGGCATTGGTACATTATAATAAGGCATTGGTACATTATAATAACGTATTGGTACATTATAATAACGTATTGGTACATTATAATAAGGTATTGGTACATTATAATAAGGTATTGGTACTTTATAATAAGGTATTGGTACATTATAATAAGGTATTGGTACTTTATAATAAGGCATTGGTACATTATAATAAAGTATTGGTACTTTATAATAAGGCATTGGTACATTAGTATAAGGCATTGGTACTTTATAATAAGGTATTGGTAAATTATAATAACGTATTAGTACTTTGTAATAAGGTCTTGGTACATTATAATAAGGCATTGGTACAATAATATAAGGTATTGGTACTTTATAATAAGGTATTGGTACTTTATAATAAGGTATTGGTACTTTATAATAAGGTATTGGTACATTATAATAAGGTATTGGTACATTATAATAACGTATTGGTACTTTATAATAAGGTATTGGTACTTTATAATAAGGCATTGGTACAATAATATAAGGTATTGGTACTTTATAATAAGGTATTGGTACTTTATAATAAGGTATTGGTACATTATAATAAGGTATTGGTAAATTATAATAACGTATTGGTACTTTATAATAAGGCATTGGTACAATAATATAAGGTATTGGTACTTTATAATAAGTTATTGGTACTTTATAATAAGGCATTGGTACAATAATATAAGGTATTGGTACATTATAATAAGGTATTGGTACTTTATAATAAGGCATTGGTACAATAATATAAGGTATTGGTACTTTATAATAAGGTATTGGTACATTATAATAAGGTATTGGTACATTATAATAAGGTATTGGTACTTTATAATAAGGTATTGGTACATTATAATAAGGTATTGGTACTTTATAATAAGGTATTGGTACTTTATAATAAGGTCTTGGTACTTTATAATAAGGTATTGGTACATTAGAATAAGGTATTGGTACTTTATAATAAGGTATTGGTACATTATAATAAGGTATTGGTACTTTATAATAAGGTATTGGTACATTATAATAAGGTATTGGTACTTTATAATAAGGTCTTGGTACTTTATAATAAGCCATTGGTACAATAATATAAGGTATTGGTACTTTATAATAAGGTATTGGTACTTTATAATAAGGTATTGGTACATTTTGAATCCTTCCTGTATGACTATAACAACGGCTCTCTCTGTGTTCAGTGTATTTTATAGCCCTCATCCTGTCCCTCAGTCAGCAAATGACGAGCGATCGCATCAACCTCTATCCCACAGCCAACGAGACGCTATGGTGAGAGATTATATTCTGCTCTGTTGGATTCTGCTCTTTTGTTCTCTACTGACCTCCTCCTCCTCCTCCTCCTCCAGGCCTCCAGGTTCGGAGCAGCAGATCCTGCAGCCGTGGATTGTAGTGAACCTGGTGGTGGCGCTGTTGGTGGGTCTGGCCTGGGCTGTTGTCTCCACGCGGCCGGACATCGACTATACAGAAGGTAGGTGGACTTCACCTGCATCTGTCACTGTAAATAAAGAGTTTATGGTAAAAGACTGTAAAAAAACCTCTTTCCTCAGCTGAAGACATTAGAGCTGAACTAAACAAATACACACGTAACTGTTTCTATGATAATAATAATTATATAATAATAATAATAATTTGTTTTTACCTGCAGAGTTTTTGATGACGATGGAGGTGGAGGGATACCCGAGAGACGAGAACGTGGACCTCCCTGCCTGAAACTAAATCAGCTTTCTTGTTCATTGAATGTGTTTTTTTGTACAATATGTTATTAGCACTTTGTTTTCCTGAGTGTGATTTTGTAAATAAAGACATACAGTATATGTACAGTAGAAGCTGTTTGCTCTTCTGACCACAGGGGGGCGCCGCTGCTGAAAACAGCTGAAAAACAGATTATTGTTTTCCAGATGGGGAAAATGGTTTAGCTGTTACCATCTATAAAAAAACAACAACAACAAAAAAAACAACCTACTCGATGTTCCCCTCAACCAACAGAGATTATACACAATGGGACTCACAGAGAACAACACACAGACTCCACATAAAACACTTTGAACAAACGCTTCATGCTACCTGGCTGTGTCCACCTATTCAGACACACATTAAAGACAATTACTACAAAGTATATAACAAAAAGGTAAAAACTCCAAGTTTGACTATAAGAGCAAAAAAAGCCAGCACCTTAGAGGCCGACACTAACAGGCTTATCGTCCAGGTCGCCAGACAAGGTTCAGGACTGTGTGCTGAGCTTCTGGTTCTTAGAAAGAAATTGATGATCGTCCCTGGATGGGCTCGAACCACCATCCTCTCAGTTAACAGCCGAGCTCACTGGCCGATTGCACCACAGAGACATGTAGAGTTCTGTCAGTCAAGTCATATATTGTGGGCCCCACTGGTTCTGACCCCTGAGAAGGATGGCACTCCCCCATTTAATGCTGAAACACACCATGATGGTTATCCAATGTACATTGGATAACCATCATTGGAGTCCATGCTTGACAAAAGACTCTTAGAGGCATCAGCCCGCCATCACTCAGCGAGGTATCTGTTTCTGTCCCAGCCAATCAGCTGCAGAGCAGTGGAAGAACGTCTCCAGTTAATAACAATAATAAGGCCAGTTGCCTTGTTGCCATAGCAACCATGTATGACAAACTATCACAATATCATCAATGTGTTGGCGCTCCCGCTGCTCACGGGTACGGAATTTCCGAAATCAAGTGTCTCAGCTCCCCTTTGTCATGGTTGCTCCCCAGCTGAAGACCTGGTCCCTGGGGGGCCACCTGGTGGATGTCCACTGCTTCTAGATACATTAATAAAACGTCCTGATCAAGTAGCTTCTGTAATTTTAGGTGACACTGACAGTGAAAACTAAAAACTATATACTCAGGAATGTTTGTAACATTGTGTAAGCAGTGTAATCGGTTTCAACTATTGCTATCATATAACAATAATAGTAATATATATCTACATAAATAACATAATACTAATAAACCAAACATTGCAGTAGCAATGAAAACAGTAACTATAATAATCATCATAATTATGATGATTATTATGATTATTATATTATTATTATTAAATGTAATTTTCTGATAACTGGCTGTTTAAGGAGTCTAACAGGTTTTCATCATTTTTGCCAAACTCAATGTAACCTCCGTTAAAGGTGAAGTCCTCTGGTTGGGATGGAGGGAAGGACAGAAGCTACCAGCCTATAAAGTTGTTGTTAGTTTATTAATGTTCCCTTTTCCTTTGGTGACAGCTCACTCCTCTGAGGAGGTCACAATTTAACTGATGAAGAGTCCCCAGTTCCCCCTCCGTGCTGCGTTAAGGTGCCATGGTGCTGATATTTCCCGCAGCCTGTGAAGGCGGCAGCGTGCATCCAGCGCGCGCCGCGGCCGTTGGTAGTAAAGCGTGTAAAGATGGCGGAGCTACAAATGTTGCTGGAGGAGGAAATTCCTGCGGGACGGAGATCTTTACTGGACAGCTTCTGCAACCTGGAGCGAGTGGCGGAGTACTGCGAGAGCAACTATGTACAGGTACGAGCCGGTGCCCGCCGGCGGGAGCGGGAAGCCCGGGGAGCATAGCAGCAGATCGGGGTACTGTGCGAGGGGAGTGGGCGGTTGGGAGGGATGGGGATGACAGCACCAAGCTCCGTTATGTTACCGGTAGGAAAGATTAAAAAACAAAATCTCACCGAATTCAAATTAAATCCGGAGCCAATATAAGACTGAAGAGTTAATTCGTCTTTAAAATATTCCCCAAAACACGTTCGTGTTTCATTAAAATTGAACTTTTATAACGTTAACTGCTCTGTGTGTTAATGCTGCGCTGCTGCGGGATGAATCGTGACCGTAGGAATGTGATAGGTAATTAAGTTATTTAGTTTTAAAAGTTGGCATTTCTCGTAATTATGTTATAATTTTTTTTATTTAATGTGAGCCGAATGAAAGAGAGATTCACGTTTATTCAGAAAATGTCTTAAGACATCTTCCACAATGTGTGTGACATTCACAGACAGACAGGGAATTATTACTGCGATGTTTTTCAAACGGAGTCTGGTTTATCCCACACTGTTAAATCCATTATTTAGATCAATAAGATTGTTTAAAGACTTACTAATAATATATTTTTTGTTTTCATGAGTATCATAAAGGGAACTACAGGCTGAATGTCATTATACAACATTGTGTTGTAACATGATAATTAAATTATCTCCAGGATGAGGATGAATCTGGTTCAGTCACTGCAGGTTGGGAGGTGAATCTGGGGGATTGTCAAACATTACTTTACTAATAATTACAGATTAATAAAGATTTGGTCCCAGACCTGGAGGAAAAGCGAAAATCTAAAAATAGTTCAGATTTACTGAGTTATGATGTCAACAGAGTTCAATGTGAAGGCTGAAACCATATCAGCCAATAATAACCTATAAAATGATCAATAACTGATCACTTTAAAGGTTATGAATGAGTTAGATAGTCAACTATTAAAATAGTTGATTCATTTATTTTGTCAGTTGAATAAATGTTGATGGTGCGTTCAGGTGCTCCTCAGGTGTTAACAGCCAAAGGTAAAAGCTAATTATTGATTAATTTATTGGTTCTATATGGATCAATGTATTGTTTAGTCCAAACTGCCCGTCGTGTGTGTACTTCACTGTCGGTCAGCCTTAACAGTATACATTAAATACACTGTATATGATCAATGATCAGATATGTTAATCAATAGGGATGTACCAATCTGATCTAAAGATAGATGAAGGTATCACAGTGTTCAATAACTTCCAACTCCACTGAAACTGATCCTGACAGATCAATACGATGGATAACGTTAGCAGTTACTGATTAATTAACTGGCTACAAACTGGCTCCTCTTCCTCCTCTTCCTGAACCCGCCGGGTCTTCATCCCCAGAGTCAGAGTCCTGGTCGGAGCCGCTGGACATCAGCCGGCCTCCGTTGGTCCGCCCTGCTTTAGTTATGTTGCTCATTCGGGCCCGGTTGCGGTTCTGTGAATCATTCGGGCCCTGCTCCGGTCATGTTGCTCATTCGGGTCCCGTTGCAGTTCTGTGGCTCATTTGGGCCCCATTCCGGTTTGGGGCACTGTGGACATATGACGGCCTTTAGCTCGTGTTTCTAGAGTTACGTGTTGTTACGAACACGTTAGGAATTGTTAAAATGTGATATTTCTTAAAGGGAGTTTGGTGCAGGGAGCTTTTAGTTGGATTCAAACTGCTGATATGGATCATTGTTAACGTTTAGTCTCCACTACAGAAACACTAGCTAACTGCTGAAGGCTGATCAGGTTGATTGATGCTTTAATAATGGGAGTATTGATTACTGATTGGGCTGATCAGTAATCAATATAATTATACTCTGTTTCTCAGTTTCACTCTTCCTCTGTCTCCTCTTTTCTAGTCCATTAGCCTGTTGATGCTAACTCAGTAGCATTGGTTGGCCTACATTCTCACTGCCAGCAGATGATGTGAGCTGTTACATAATCCAGTCCTGTTGATCTTGTTTTATGGGCTAAATATTTGGATTGAGGGTTGACCCATGTTAAACCCTGCTTGGCCCTGTGCCCCCCCCCAGCTCTCAGACACTGTGAGGATTCAGTCCGTCTCTTTATTTAAAGCTGGGCAGCAGCTATCAGTGAAATAATGTTCAGATACAAGACACCAAACAGCGCTGACGTTTACAGAGCACCATCAAACCTAAAGTGGGAAAGACATCTGGTTTCTGTAAGAAGGACACACGTCTGTAAGAAGGACACACGTCTGTAAGATTCCCAACAGTCACCTGGTGAGACGTCTGTGGATGCTAATACAGCTAGCACAAGCAACCACACGCAAGATATTTATTCTATATTCTGAAATCAGATGAGACGAAAATACTTTGATTCTCTGGTATTTTATTAAATATCTGTATTTGAAGGTAAAAAATGTGACTCTACATTAAACAAATGGAGCCCAGGAACCTGAATACAGATCAGATCCTCTTAGAAAGGACAGACAGTCTAATAGATAATGGATGGACAGAGCTCTCTGTGGAATATATGGAGTATGGAATATTACTGTGAATAAACAGCATGCAAACTAATAATAATAATAATAATAATAATAAATAATTACAGCAACCATCTCAGACATGTGATTAAAGCTGAAGCAGGAAAATGAGTCCGATCCACATTCATTTTTTATGAATCTCAACTTGGGATTTTAAACACTGAAGCTGCTGATCTGGTTTTTACTGAGCATGTGCAGATTGTCCCTCTCTCACAAACACACACACACACACACACACACACACACACACACACACACACTCACACACACACAGTCCCATCATGCTTTGTTCCTTCTGGGTCATCCACAGCTGGTTCTGGTTAGAGGTAGTCGTAATGTAACTCAACCTCCTGCTGCTCATTGAAAACACATGGTACTGCCTCACTGTGTGTGTGTGTGTGTGTGTTACTCTGTGTGTGTGTGTGTGTGTGTGTGTTGGAAACCATGGCGATTGGTTTTCTAGCTGAAGGAGTATCAGCCTCCACCTTCAGTGCCGGTGCCAGGAACAGCTCCTGCGGGGGCGACTCAGGCTGAGCGTTTGGACCGTGTGAGCGAGCTGACATCATTCCACTGAAAGACAAACTCTGTTAACGTCTGTCGTTGTTATTTATCCCTTATTGAGGAACTTTTGCTCATTATGGTATGGCTGCAGGATGTTTAACACTGTGTGTAACAGACGGACTCATGTTCCTGTTTCAGCCTCCAGAAACCTTTAAAGAGTTAAAGTCTCCATTAAATCAGAATCAGTGTGTTTATCTCCTCAGTCCTCCAGT